GGGGGGAGGGAGGAGGGGCGAGGATAAATGCGCGCGCATCCCTGACCAGCCCCGCGCATCCCTGACCAGCCCCGCGCATGAACAGCCCCGCCCCTCGGGCACCTGCACTGATGGTTGATCCGCCCGCTGTCCTCCCTGCACGAGATCGGGATGCTTTATGGGCACGGGGCAGTCCCAGGCAGTTTCCCCGCGTCCCTACTGCCAGATCAGCCTCACCCTACGGTCTGGTTTTCTACTTCCGCCAGTAGCGTGGCCACGCCTCCCAGGCACCCTTCTGGATTCTGGGCGGGGCTTTCTGCCTTTTGATCTTGGCCCCTCCCGTGTCAGGGGTGGGACCGTCGAGGAACGCCTAGCGTCTGGATGCGCTGCCTTCAGAGTAGGGGTAGTGTAAATGGTAAAGCCCTGAAAAGTAGAGACTGGCGCTTGTCCCTGGGGAGTGTTCTGCTGGCTACTTTAGGCTAGCGGGTTCTGGCTTCCCTCAGGAACAAGAAATGGCCTTGCAGTGGCCTTGCATCTCTTGCCAGCCTCTTGTACTCCTGGGGTCAGGAATTGTGTATTTTACTTCCGGATCTCAGGACATCGACGCCGGAAGCCGGAAGCGGGGGTTTCCATATCGGGGAAGGGAAGGGCGGCCTCCGGACAGGGGAGTTTCTCCGAGTGTCCGGGCCCAGGAAACTCTCGCAGCCCGCTGCTCCAGCCTTTCTCACGCCTGACCTACACTGATGACAGGTGTGGTCCCCTTCTTCCAAGACAGGGTTACATCGGCGGGCGTTCTGCTGCCTCTGAAACGTCTTCTGATGTCCAGGCTTCTCCTGTTGGGCCCTACCGGTTCCGGCTTCGCGCTTCTAGAGCACCAGGACCCAGGTTATTTGGGCGGCGAGTGGGACTGGTTCTGCTCCTCTCTTGCCGCTGCGGTCTCTGTCTCACCATGTCTCTAGTGCGGGAACTTTTCTAGTCCTGAGACATTTCCTGTTCATCAAATTTGTGTGCAAGTCTTTAAAAAGGATTGGCGTATAGCTTGACAGCTAAGCGTCTTACCTCACGCGCCTCAGTTTGCTCACTTGCAAAACAATTACTATCTACCTTCCCTCATACCATTTCTGTGACCTGAGAACTAGAGGGTCGTCTTGGTATATTCTAGAAACACGGAGGAAGCGCACAGGGAACGTGGGCAGCATAGTTGGAGAGGGAGGAATGGGGAGACCAGATGGTATAGGGTCTTGTAGGCCTTTGACTTTTATACTGAGAGCAAGGGAGAGCCAAGGTAAGGTTCATGGTAGAGGAGGGATGTGACCTGAGTTACCTATTTTTGGTACTGGGGATTGAATCCAGAGGTACTCTACCACCGAGCTACATCCCCAGCTCATTTTATTTTTTGTTTTGAGACAGGGTTTTGCTAACTTGCTCAGGCTAGCCTTAAACTTGCTATTCTCCTGTTGCAGCCTCTTGAGTACCTCTAGAGTATCTGAGATTACAGGTGTGCACCACCACACCAGCCTGAATTATCTTTTAGGCAGATCTTATAGCCACTGTGAGAACAATGGACTGTAGGGGGCAAGACTGGAACCAGGATGGTGTGTCAAGAAGTTATTGCAGTATTCCAGGTGTGAGAGACAATGGTGCTGTGAACATTTTATTATTAAAAATTTAAAAAATGTGGGCTGGGGATTGGCTCAAGCGGTAGTGCGCTTGCCTGGCATGGGTGCGGCCTGGGTTCGATCTTCAGCACCACATACAAACAAAGATGTTGTGTCCGCCGAAAACTAAAAAGTAAATATTAAAAAAAAATTTAAAAAATGTATTAAAGTGGAAAGATTAGTAAATTCCATAAACCCATCTCTCACTTTACAATTATCAACTAGTAACCAAGTGTTTAATTTATACTCCTCAAAATTCTCTTCGGTTATTATTTCCATAACATCTTTTTTGAGAAATAATTCGAATGCTAAACAATTGACCTATTCAGTGTACAGTTCAATAGTTTGTAGCATATCTACTGATGTGTAGCCATCACCATTATTTCCAGAACATTTTTATCACCCTAAAAAACAGCCTTGGGCCCTTTAAGCACCCTTCTGGCCTCACTGACCTCATTTCCTTAAGTAGACTGGAAACTGCTTTTTTTTCCTCTGTGGATTTGTCCATTTTGTACATTTCTCATAAATGGAATCATACAACATGTGTTCTTTTGTGACTTGTTTCTTTCTCTTACCATAGTGTTTGGAAGATTTGTTTATGTTGTAGCATGTGGATGTACTAAATTTTGTTTATTAACCAGTTGATGGACATTTGGGTTGTTTCCATTCTTTTGGTGTTTTGAGTAATGCCACTATGAGCATTCATATGTGGATATATTTTCATTTGTCTTGGGTATATACTTAGGAGTTCCCCATTTATTTATTTATTTGGTACTGGGAATCTAACCCAGGGGTGCTTTACCACTGAGCTACATCCATGACCTTTTAATGCTTTATTTATTTTTTTTTATTTTGAGACAGGGTCTCTCACTGAGTTGCCAAGGCTGGCCTTCTAAGTCAGCCTCCCAAGTCACTGGATTACAGCTGTGCACCACCATGCCCAGTTCTCTCTTTATATTTATTTATTTATTTATTCACTTTTTTGTGGTGCTGGGAATCAAACTCAAGGTCTAATGGATGCTAGACAAGTGCTCTACCACTGACCTATATTCTCAGCCCTGAGAAGTTAGTTTTGAGAAGACTATTAGACATTCAAATAGGTATATCAAGTTTGATATGTGAGTCTGGAATTCAGAAAAGAGGTCTATTTTTGGGTGTTATTTTGGAATGACTACAGGATTGAGTATAGTTAGAGAAGAGAAGTGGTTCTAGGACAGCTCTGGGTACCTCTACATGAAGGTATGAGAACTTAGTGAAAGAGCCTGAGCAGGATCAGTTTTTGAAGTGGGAAGGACACCAGGAGACTGGGTTGTTAATGGAAGCCAAGGAAGAAAGTATGTGGAAAAAGATGGAGATGTCAGGTCAGCCGCTGTGTTTGGGTCAGTGGGGGTATAAGTGAGATGTTGTAAGTGCTAACAATCAAAACAGTCAAATTTTTTGGTACTAGGGATTGAATCCATGGGTACCTTGACACTGAGCTACCTCTACAGATCTCTCTTTTTTGGGGGAGGGTTTACCAGGATTGAACTCATGAGCACTCGACCCCTGAGCCATATCCCCAGCCCTATTTTGTATTTTATTTAGAGACAGGGTCTCACTGAGTTGCTTATTGCCTCGCCATTGCTGAGGCTGGCTTTGAACTTGTGATCCTCCTGTCTCAGCCTCCCCAGCTGTTGGGACCCAGTCATTTTTATTTTTATTTTTTTGAGACATGGTCTAAGTTGCTGACGCTGGCCTCAAACTTGGGATACTCCTGTTCCAACTCCTGAATCACTGGGATTACAGGTGTGCACCACTAGCCCAGTAAAACAACCAGATTTAATCAGTGTTAAAGTCAACATTCCTAGCATCAGGCCTGCTGCTGGAAACTTACATTGGGATTGACCTCCACTTCCTGGTAATCAGTCTTCTTGGGTGGATATGAAATGGTGGATCTGGTACTGCTCCACATGGTCAATATCTAAACTCAAGCGAACAAGAGCAGCTCACCTACTCTGCTTTGCTGTCTCAGGTCCTGCTCTCTATTTCAAATTTCTCAGTACATGTCAGACACTACAAGTCTCTTCTTACCTTTATCTTCCCAACTCTAGGGAACACTCCTTAGACCTGGCATGGTATTCTTGAAGCCCCTCTTCTGTGTAAGAGTTTCTGTGACTGCCAGAAAATGACAAGAAACTGGGTGGCTTCAAATAACATAAATTTAATCTCTCAGTTCTGGAGGCTAGAAGTTCAAAATCAGAGGGTGAACAGGCCATATTCTCTCTGCAAGTTCTAGGAGAAGATCCTCCCTTGTCTTTCCTAGGTGCTGGTGGTGCAATTGTTCTTGGCTTGTTCTCACACCACTCCCATCTCTACATGGCTTCCTCCCTGTGTGTTTCCCTTTGTTTTCTACTTTTTCTTCTCTCTCTTACAGGAATCCTTGTTATTGGAATCAGGGCCCACCCACATAACCCAGGATAATATCATCTTGAGATCCTTGATTAAACTACATCTGCAAAGACCTATTTTCCAAATAAAGTCACATTTATAGGTTTCAAAGGTTAGGGCATGGCCATATCTTTTTTTTTCTTTGTACCAAAGGTTGAAGCCAGGGATGCTTTATCACTGAGCCACATTCCCAGCCCTTTTATTTTTATTCTGAGACAAGGTCTTGTTAAGATTCTGAGGGTCTTGGCTAAGTTGCTAAGGCTGTCCTTGAACATGTCATCCTCTGATCTCAGCCTTCCAAGCTGCTGGGATTATAGGCATGCTCTACTGTGCCTGGTCATGGTCATATCTTTTTTGGGGGCTATTATTCAACTTATCACACTAGGTGAGGGTAAGAGGCCTTGACCCTCCACTTCTTAGAAGTGTGGGAAGGGATAGGGTAGGATTCCCAGAATACTGGCATTTGCCATGTATAAATAATCCTCTCCCTTTGGATTTTTGTGGTTTTTTTTCCCTGTAGTGGGGATTGAACCCAGGGCCTTGTGCATGCTAGGTAAGCACCGTACCATTGAGCTGTATCCCCAGTCTTAATCCCCTCCCTTTGGAGTGGGAATGTGTGCTACCTCAGACCAAAACTCCATTTCAGCATCTGGTTATACTAGATGAAGTGGTTGGCATTCTGCTGCAAATATGGGCCCAGAGCTTCTGCACAGAGTAACCACCTTGTCCTGCTGGGTAAGAGAATTCTGTATGGTGTCATGTGATGCCTGCTTTTCTTTTCCAGACACTGACTTGTTGGATGAGCAGGCATCTCTGGAAGAATCAGCTGTGTGAGATGGTGCAGCCCAGTGGTGGCCCAGCAGGGGACCAGGACGTGCTGGGTGAAGAGTCTTCTCTGGGAAAGCCGGCCATGCTACATCTACATTCGGAGCAGGGCATCCCTGAGACCCTCCAGCGCTGTCTAGAGGAGAATCAAGAGCTCCGAGGTGGGTCCAGTGGTTGGGGTGGTGGGGTGGAGTGGAGTGAAAAGTTAGGAGGTCCAGCCTTTGCTGAGTGGAACGTTTATTCCTATCACCTGCACCTTCATGTTTGTTAGGTCTGGATGGGTATGTGCCTGAGAGCATACCCAGGTGGTCTCTAGTTAGCATTTCAAGCTTAGCCG